GGGGGTTACAGTCAGATATATGAAGATAAAAGTAGAAAGTATCTTATGGAGTAAATGTTTCTGGAACATAACTAACTTTTTCCTGAAGGAAACTTGACATTATCATTTCAATGACAGTATTCTTCCAATGTGTAGGTATTGTTGGACGTTAAAAGCAGGACAAAATGCATGGTGCAGTGGTCAGTGTGACCACTTTTTCAGTTAGAAGTAATGGGAACCGGGGGCGCTGATGGCACAGTGCCCCATGCATGGAGGCTGTAGTCCTCCAAGCTGGCGGCCCGGGTTCAAATCCAACCTGTGGCTCCTTTCCAGCATGTCATTCCCCACTCTCTCTCTCTCTCTCCCTAATTTCCAACTCCATCCACTGTCCTATCTCTCCAATAAAGGCACAAAAAGCCAACAGCACCTGACTGATGCAAAACAAACCTTTGCACCACAAAGAACGGTGATAGCAGAATAATGCTAGACACAGCGTGTGGCAGGGCAGCTGACACCAGTCTGTTACCTGCTCTGACACTCTTCTCCAGTAATGAAGCAGTGAAGTACTGTAGACGTCAACCATTCTGAAGCAGACTTATTCAGTTTCTGCTGCTGGACTTAGTGGTGTGCTGGGATTTACAATTGATTATGAGCAGGGCATGCAGCATTATTTAGGTGGTGAGTGAGTTTGAGTATTAGGAAAGCATTCAAATCAGTCTCAAGTGAACTGAAAGTTTGTGTTCAACCCCGCAATTCCATTTAACAGGAATTATAAAAAGAGAACAACGAAACCCTCAGAATGGAGAAGCACCAGAAAAACAATAAAACTATGATCACAAGCGACCTACAAGGACATAGATATCATCTCAGCCACTTTATAACACGTACAGAGGTAGTCACACATTAACAGTGGTTTATGTTTCAGTAACGAGAGAAATTGAGAATACATGAAATAAGAATAAAAAACGGAAAACATAAGCTTAGTGGGATATACTCGCAAATGATATCACTGTCAGCGCCGCAGTAACAACATAAGATTCACCATGAACTACGACAGAAACTGGATCATTAATTTTTTGTGAAAAACCATCTGCTGCAACAGAGCAGTTGTTGCTCTTATTCAGTCAGCGAGGGTCACATTTAGCAGGAAAAAGACTCGCGAGGCACATTCCAGTTAATCCAGCAAAAACCTTTGTGAGAAAATATGTGCACCTCTTCCTGCCTCACACATGATGTGTGCAGGTGTGCAGACTCTGCAATTATCCCTTACTAACAAGGCAGAGGCACAGCAGCACTGGGGACAAAAAAATGTCAGAACTGAAGCACTCTCTCTCCCCATGAAGTCTGACGTCACCTCCTGCCCATTGAACAGCAGGTTAGCAAGTGTACACACACACACACACACACACACACACACACACACACACACACACACACACACACACACACACACACACACACACACACACACACTGAAGAACTTACTAATGAGGCTGGGCCACAGCAGGGTCATCGACTGAGAACAAACACTGACAAAAGGCACATGGGCTAATGCATACAAACATGCCTGCAGCCTTCAATCCAACACATGTTAGGTTTCATGTTGCAGAACTTGTCAGACATGCACATGAGGAATCCAAAACAATACCAAAGACTCACAACAAAACATGACGCACAGCTGAGACATAGAGCAATATGTTAGTGATGATATTAATCAGCCAAGATTTGACTTTACAGTGCTGCCAAAAAAAAAACTCCCAATATGAATTTATTCTGAAAACTTGGACAGATGTTCAAGAATATTTATACTTTTCATGAATTAACTGCACTAAGTCCAGAAAAAAACAATGAGTGCTCTTATCTTAAATATTACAGAGACTGTTTAAAACAAATTCAGTTCTGATTACATAAAAGGATGAAGTATTATAACTCACTTTTTGTGTGTGTTTACATGTTCTTAATTCAGTGACAGATTGAAATTTGATCTAATAAAGCATAAATCTGTTTTTTGATAAGAGTTTGCGAGAACAAAACTGGACATCTTCAAACAGATGTTCCAAAACCCAACAGGAAATATGAACTGTGTTTATTACATTGTAAGACTAGCCGTAGTGGGTTACAATTACACTGTGGATAAACTGAACCATCAAAGGCTTGATATTTTGGATATTTTGGATATTTTTCAAGGTAAAATGACATAAACCCTTCATTAATTTTCTTAATTGCTAAACATGTTTCAAACATTCAGCTTTATTTACATGTTGTTTGGGTCGACATGGACATGTTGCGCTAAAATTCTTTTTCGCATCTTTGATGATTTAAATATTACAAATGATATTAAGAAAATGGTTTAATGATTAATCAATAAGTAATCATAACGTGCAGACCTACATGGACCTCAGGGACAAAAGCCCTAAAACCATAACATATTCATTTGGGATACTTCATGACCAGATGAGCTTACTGTAATGTGCTTGATTATAGATATTCAGGTCTAAGACATTTTTTTTTGATACGGTAAATTCAATGTTTTTCTTGCTTTTTTTCTCCCTATAAGAAAATCAAAATGTCTTGGATCAGATTGAAGAAATATCAGGTTATGCTTGACACACAAGATCACAGCACATGAGCTGGTCAGGAAGTTAGTAAGCAGAGCAGAGAGCAGCAGAGAGCTGGTGACATGACAGCTAGTCAACCTGCAGGAAGCTGCACTCACAAAAACACACATTTACAGTTGGTGTGACGTCAACGCTCCATTCATGAACAACCCCCCCCCCCCCCCCCCCACCCCACCCCCTCCTCCTCCTCCTCCTCACTACGTAGCTGCTAATGCGATACAACACGTCACGTGGGGTCCTTACCCCCTTTTCCAGCCAATCACAGTTCAGCGCTTAACGAAGCCGACACAAATACACTCAGACACCATGCTAAGCTACACCCCCGCCCGCACACACGTGTGTGTATGTACACATGAGGCTTAACAGGTCTGTGGCTTGGGTTACATATGACATACTGAGTGCGCACACACACACACACACACACACACACACACACACACACACACACACACACACACACACACACCTACTGACTGTCCTCCTTAGACCGATACTGAGACATGATGAGAGGAAAAGATGGGATGGATAAGAGGTTGGGGAGTTATAAGGCAGTACAAAATAAGGATAGAAGATGATGAAATGGAAGTATGGATGGAAGAGGAAATACATTATTGAAGCATCTTAGCTGGAAAGATGTGGTCGAAAACATGAACAGATGCAAAAAGAAAACAGCTCTCTCATCCCTGCTCACTTGCCTTGTAAACAACCACTGTATCTAGGCAAGGGAGAGGAGAGAGTGGTAGAGAGAGAAAAAGAGAGAGCGAGAGAGGGAGAGAGAATGAGTGAGTGAAAACAAGATAGCACTGCATCAGGAAAGATATGAAAATCAGAGAGGGGGGGGGGCAGCGAGAGAGTTTTTAAGCCCCCACTCACCATGACTCATCTACAGCAGGAGGAGGGTTGTGTGCATGTGTGCGTATTCGTGTGCATCTCTGTTCGAGTTTGTTCAGAGTTTGAAGAGCATGGTACATGCATCTGTTCTTGAATATGTGTTTAGAGTGTGCATGTGGCATACAGCGCTGTTGGTGTGGGTACAAAATGATGATTAGGTGTGTGTGTATGTGTGTGATGGTTGGGGGGTGGGGGGGGGGGCACTGCTGTCACAACTGGGAACATTTAACAAGTCCCCAGACAATCCCAGCTTAATTGATTCAAGGCTGGAGCCAGTTCAGCTTCAATGTGCCATCGAAAAGTGTTTTGAAAAATACTGGATAAACTGCTCCATTCAACATTAATAGGGCAGAGATAATGTTCTTTAGAGCATCTCCAGGCAATCGCAAAGCGTAGGTGGCAACAACATGCCGCGGAAAATCACACCAGAGATAAATGCCCCACTTCATCCAATTCCTCCATTCCTTCCACCCTGGTCACATCGCACTGCAAGCTACTGCAGCCACACTAACTTCCTGTTTAGTTGTTGTTGTTTCCAGGTGAGGATGCAACACAGAGCTCTGATTTTCAGGAGGTAAACAACAGCCACTCCCCCCCCCCTCCTCCTCTTCCTCCACAGCCAGCCAGAAACCAGGAGGAGGAGGAGGAGGAGGAGAGGGTGAAGGAGGCAGAAGAGAGGAGTTGCTCTAATTCGTTTATGTGTGTGGTTGCGTGCTCAGCCTCCCTAAAAAAAAAATTAAAAAAAAAAAAAACAGATCGAGCTGATCCCCTCTGGTTTCCTTTACCCCTCATTTACCAAGCAGTGAAGAAGCCTGCAGCTCCCCCAGAGATTACGAGCGTTTGGTGGCACCATCCAGCACGCAGACCTGCTGCTCTCATCATCACTTCTGTGTCAAGTAGCCTACATGTGTAAAAAAAAAAAAAAAATGCACAACATTGTTTGCTTTTACATTCGGCTGCAAGTTTCTACTCGCATTCCTTGCTACGCCGCTGAAAATGACCCTATTTGCAGCAATTACGCGCAAAAAAAAATAACCCCACTTGGACTCTCTCCAACTACCCGCTCGCGTACTTTGATTCCCACCGGGGGCGCGTTCACGTTTACATCTTGCAGCCAAGTTTAACCAGTTACATTTCATCTGTGCATGCGTGCAAGGACTGTGGCTTCAAATGTGTTATTTGTCTTTCCTTCACTGCGACACATAAAAGACGACCACTCACTCAAACACACACACACACACACACACACTCTCACACACACACACCCCCTCCTCCCTTCCTCCACTGATCCACATGCACCGCTCAGCAAGCCGCTGACTGTGACTGACAAGCCCGCTGCAAAAGTGCGTACAGAGCCGCTGCTGCCGCTAGCCTAGCCCTGGTAGCACTTGCATCAGCAGCAGAAGCGGCAAAGTGGACTTCAGTGGTCCTACAGCCCTCCCACTTTTTAAATAGCATCGTTTTATCTGTTTGAGTACATGTTTTTGGGTTTTGTTTTGGGTTTTTTTTTACCTTGATTGCAGTCAGCTTCGGGTGCAGATACGTCCTCAAACCTGGACGGCGCGGGATTCCCAGAGATTAGGAGATCATTGGGAGCCAGGCACATGTAGTTTCACAGTGTAGGGTTTTAGCTGTGTACTAGTTCACTGTGCCCACCCGGTGCCTAGCTGTGCTGCTAAACAGCCCCGACTCTGAATCCACGTTGGGTGACAGGACGGTCCCTTCTCCTGCCTCCTTCCCCTATCGTCCTCCTCACGGTGCGTGTTGACAGCCCCTGCAAAAAAAAAAAAAAAAAACCCCGGAGTCCAAAAATCCCAAATAAAACCGAAACAAGAGTGGCAGCCAGGCTAAGTTGAGGCCGTTAGAAGTCAACAAAAACAAACCCGTGCTGCTGTCGTCGCTGGTCCCGCTGCTGCTCACAGTTTAGCAGGCTGCGAGGTGCGCACAAACACACCGCTCACAGGAAATCATGTCGCATTTTGCAAAAAGCAGTTCCAAACGTGGTGTCAAAATCCGCCTGTGCTCTCCTCTCCAGTAGGTCTACCAGCGGTGCGGGAGGGGGGCACGGAGAAGCGAGGGGAGGAGGAGGAGGGGTAAGAAAATAAAGAGGAAAAAAAAAGGATGCTTTATATCCAAACGATGAGTCAGAAGAAATTGCAAGCCAGTTTCGCAATGTCCCTCCTTCAAAAAGAAGACATCCAGCTCTCTCCGTCTTCACTTGCTGCTGTGCTTCCACTCCTTTAACCCGACGTGCACAGTGGGCTACTTGCACACCGGTCTGCACTAATGCACAGGCGGGTCTTCTCCTGCATCCTCTCTCCCCGAACACCTTCAGAAAATAATAGACAACACAGTGAAAAAAACAGCTCTCCTGATCAGCTCGAAAACTCTTTTGGCGCCATATTTATGGCGTACTTTCAATTCACTGTTACCGCAAGCTGCACTTCCTACTCTGAGAAATGCAAGATCACTGCGCCTCTGAGAGGAGAGGATGGGGATTGAACTTCTCATATTAGACTGTATGTGGTTCAGGCTTACTTTAGGGGGGAGTTGACATTGCACATACGAATTAAAAACCTATTATTGCAAACAATTTTTGTTTGTTTTTTTCTAATTCAAAATCATATGCAGATTTATTTCTGGAGAGTAAAACATTAAACATAGGCATAGATAAAATGCATTTTCAGAGTACAATTTTAAGAATATTTATTTCAGCCCCTTAGGAAAATTCAATTCAATTGAATTCAAGGAGCCTAATTGTCCTGAGATAATCTGCGGATTATTTTAGCCTACTTTTTTTTAATGTTGGCCTATAAACAGTTCGGGACAAAGTGGTTTCTGAACAATTTTTACATTAAAGTATTGAGATGAAATTCAAATGTGAAAACAGTTACCAGTTTCAGAAATGCCTCTGATATCCTCTGACATTTGGTTGTACTTATCTGACACCACCCAAAAGCTCAACTTGTTTACCCCCCCCCCCCCCAAAAAAAAAAAAACAGTAGCTGCAATTACAGTCTAGTTAGTGAATTTATTGACACCAGGACCACAGAGCGAGGAGGAGTAGAGAGAGAGGGTCGTCTGCAGCCAGTAATACTTATGATTACGTAGGTACATACTTATTCTGCTTGCACTATGTGTTAGTGCAAAAAGATGAACTGACTTTGGGTGAAGTAACAACAGTGATCTAATTTAAGCATCCCAAATGGTAGCAAGAGCAAAAAAGGTATCAGAACAAGTCTAATGCAAAAACTATATATATATACCTTAACCATCCTATTTTCACGATTGGCTTGTTACTGGGCTAGTAACAAACTCATTTAAAACTTTAAATATGTTCTGTCTTGTACCATTTCTATCTGAACTCCTCTTTTTAAAAGCACTGATTAATTCTCTGCATCACCAACTTCTGCTGTCAAAATAATTGGCATCCTCAATTTCTGCTCAAAGTGAAAGCCTGCGTTTGCACTTACTTCTGAAAGTGATAATATCTCCCCACCAGTGATTGATTTGCTTGCACCGATCCAAAGGGAACAGTTGGAAAGTAAATTACCTTCTTTCACATTTTCTCTAAAATCTATATTTAAAGGGGAGGAGGGTGTTTGATCAATGTGTAATCCACTCCCATCCACTGTCTCTAAATCACTGTCCTCTGCCTGTTATCAAGCTGAGAGACATTTTCTTTCAATATCTTTGCTGTTTCTCACAACATCTTTCTTCCCCATGAAAACTTCTCCGTCTCATTAAGGGTGTGCAGGTTTTAGCATTGCATCTCAGCATCATAGAAACAAACTCAATTCATCCCTTTTCATTTAAAGATGTCTATTCAGTACACAGAGATGCAGAGCCAGCAGGCACACCAAAATTAAGGTCATTTGGATGAACAAATGGGACAATCCTACTTTATCAAACACACAGACCTGCACACACACACACACACACACACACACACACACACACACTCACCCAAAGCCCTGACGTGCATAGGAAAGACTGTCAGGTGCACAAATGATCATATCAGCTGTATCAGGTGTCACTCAAAGAGTAAGGAAAGCAAAGGGAGAAAGGGGGAGGAAAAGAGGGTGTGATGCTGTTTAACACAAAATGAAATGAGGCAGTGAAGGACACAGAGGAGGGAGTTCTCTGGCACACATTCAAATGCAACAGCAGCATCTCACAGTTCACCCTCGCCTCTGTCTCCCCCCACACTGGCACAGGCAGGTAGGTGGCTGTGCCCCCTAAGGAAACAGCCCATGACCCTCTCCACGGTCGGTTTTAATGTGAGCTAAGGCCATTTTTTGGTGAAATGAGATGCAAGCTGTGAGTTTTTTTTAGGATGTAGATCCACACAGATCTGGGTCAAATAGTGGTTGTGGTTTATATTTAATCTGTTGGGTGCACCAGATGGGTGGGGTTCACAGCTGAGGAGCATTTCTGACTTTCCTTAAGGTGCTTCATGCAGCACATTGTCAAATAATGACGGCTGTTGTTCTGCTGCTTAAGTGATAGTTTTACTGTTAAAACCCAAAGTACATATCGGTGTACTAACCCACTTATATAAGAAATCTGAATGCAGGAGTTTATGCCTAGGACGGTATTTATACCTAATTGTTTAAACAGTTTTGTACGTAAAAAGATCTGAAAGCTTCTTTAACCATTGCAGTGAGCCAGTTCACCTGGCCCTACAATCATGCAGCTAAATGGAATTCAGCCAATATTACTTTGTCAAAGCACAACTCCCCTTTTCCTGCTGAGAAAAGTCAAAATGAATTTCTGTGGAAAGGTTTGGACGTGTGTAGATCATGACTGTCGACATGATTATTTTACACATTCTCAACCACATGGAATGGGACATCTGCGCAGGGTTTTTGTCTTGAATTACATAAGCACTGCTTTTCCATGAACCATTGAAAAAACGACCAACTCCACGACGAGGAACTGTGTAGTTGTGCAGGTATGTGTATTATTTCTACTGTACATAACACACACTTCTATTATATATTTTGATCTTATTCTATTTAAGCTGTCAGCAGGAGCTCTGCTGTTTTTATAGTTCCTTTGTTAATTGTTCTGCACCAAAACACCAAGTCTAATCCCTTGTATGTGTTAATGTACTTGGCAATAAAAAAACGATTCTGATTCTGACCAGCACTCAAAGATACATGATTCAAATCTCAAGTGAAACAGCTATGTTTGTCAGGATGTTTTTCAAACACTATTATAATGTTCAAATACAGATAAGCCAAGTTTAAGAGTCATCAGCACAACTTTACATTACAACTACATCACTGTAGATAGAAATGATTACATGTTGAATACATGTGTGAAACGTAGAAAGCTTTGAAAATGAATTTTATTGTATTCTCAGATTTTAAATGCTTCATTCAATATAACGTTACAACCATGGAAGCTTGTTATTGAGGACACTTTATTTATCCCAGAGGGCAATTTGGTTCCTTAGTCCACACAGACCATTCATACACTGAAATGTGTTGTTGTTTTTTTATACACTGATGTAACGATTTGGTCTGTGTTGTTGTTTGTGAGTCAGATCCAAATCCAGTCTAATTCTAGAATCATCTTTGGCCAACTGCAATTCACCAAGTGTCTTTCGAAACTGTATTTACATTTTTTCATAATCCTGTTTGAAAACAAACAAATAAGCAATAAAAATAGACCTACAAACATCACCAAAAGCATGAACTCTGAGCTGGAGATAATAAAAAAAACTTACTGCATCAATCTTTGTCACATGGGAACTGTGACTCTGCTATGGTACATTTTTTTTGTATGTAGCATGCTAAAACTGAAAATACCTTCACAGAGACACATGACCTGCCAAAGCATTGCTGCTCCTTTTATTTGATTTACAGACGGCGGCTGCGGCAAATCTGTGACAAAAAGCACAAAAAGGACAAATGCAATAATTTGATTCCCTTCACGCTTAATTCCTTTACACCCCCTGGTACTTTCAAGTATCTTTTTTTGAAGTACTGAAGTCAAGTTAATAGTGTTTTCTAAAGCATTGGACAAACACGCATCTTTACTTCTATATGCCTGTTTAAGTTGCTGGTTGTATCGCTCAGGATTTGGCAAATTCCACATTAACCACACATTACAGTATCAGCCAACATTTTCCCATGACACAAGATTTCAATAACCACACATTCCAGGAAATAAGAGCAATATGTGAACACAGAGATGGCAGTATTCATTTAGTGTGTGGTGGTGTTAGTACAATTCAGTGATTCAACTGACTAGAGGGATGCACACACGGTATCACGGCCCAAATATCCATGTCAGCTGCAATCAGGCCAATAGATGGGTATATATAGTGATTTTGTTTGGACAATAGGTCAGAATGAAGGACCTGAAATAGCTGACAGGACCTGCTGCTCCAGCACCCCTCTATGTCAGGAGCACTAGTTTTAATTAGTCTAGGTCCCAGGATGGCACCCTACATTTATCACTTTGGTCCAAGGCCTACATTTTTGAAGTGAACCCTCCTTTATGAAACGCTACTTTCTTTTACAACTTATCACTTTTGCGAGTGAGTTAGAGACAAGTTGAGCAGCAATATAAGCAGGTTAGTCATTCTACTGTACCTTTCTTTACCTTACTGTACATACTGTATTTTGAAGCTTGAAATGTTTGGTGTTTGTCATAATCACTATGCCTTCAGAAGCCGCTGAGAAATAGCACACTTGCTACCTTGTGGTTATTGATTCTCAATTTTCAGGGCGTTGTGGTTGTGGTTGTGAGGGCAACATTTTTGATCTTTTCATAGGGCCCAGAATTCCTGGTGATGCTCCTTTACATAACGATTTATGTAAATAATAAATCGTTTGACCCCCTATCTGTGTACAGCAGGTTAGAAAAGATGGTGAAGTGGTGTGCAGTTGAATCAAAGTTGTGGTCACAGGTTGGGTTAGGTTTAGCCAGAAATAGGGGGAAAAATCAGGGTGTGGGTATAACTACTTAATAAGGTTATGGAGCAAATGTTGCACTTTTTTCATTTGCTCCTGATGGACAGCATATTCTACCTTCTAAAAAAATCGGTGAAATGTATCCTTAGACCTGAATATTAAGATAAAGTATATTATATGTATGTTAAACTAAAGGAAGCACATATTATGCTGCCTCTTCTTCAGCCCTGAACACGTTTGCAATGATTGAAAAACTACCGTCTTTGGTGCATGTTCCATTCTCCTCTCAGTAACCTTGGTATCCACACACTTCACAGTGTGTTCATAATTTCTCATTGGCACTCTTTAAGGACTCGGGCTCTAAGGGTGCCTGTTGTCTCTGTGTTTCCTAATCATAGTTTTCTCCTGAGTAAGCATACATTAGGTGACTCATCAAGAACGGCTGTGTGCCAGAGCTGGCTGGAAGGCAGTGTATTACTTCAG